CTGGGTTAGGGGCCGAGGTGGGGACCCTACCTTTCGAACGTGTACTCGCTCTCGGCCCTGAAGTAGTACACGTGGGACTTGAAGTGCAGCTTGAACACGTAGTCTTTGTGGATGTTCTCGGACTCCGAGGGGATGGTGAGCGAGTATCCGAGCAGAGGCAGGCTGGCGAGGGGGTGATTGTCCTGGAAGGGGGGCAGAGCAGCCTGAGGACGGGCCTCACTGATCAGCGACTGGGGGCCTAACCCCCACCTCCCGCTGTCCATGCAGCAGGCAGGGCCCTTCCTAAGCTGAGGTCGTCCTTGAGCTAATGGGACTGCCACCTGCATTCAGGAGCCTGGGGCTTGGCCTGGGCAGGATTTTTGTTTGGAGGTTTTTGCTATAGGGCTTGTGCGCTTTCTAGAAAGACAGCGAGAAATCACCTCCCAGAGGGGATGGCCACGCCGCAATCCCTTCTCCATTCTCTTGGGATCCTGGACATGCATGTACACATGTGTGAGTTTAAGCCACCAGGTTTGGGACTCGAACTGCAGTTGACTACGTGAGAGTCCAGTGACATAGTCGTTACACCATCTGCTGGTCCCTGGGCAGGATCTTGACATACTAGCTTCTCTATGCCTGGCCATGTGACTCAGAGCCTTGGCTGGAGGGCAGAGGAGTCACTGTCCTTCCAGGGGAAGGCCACCTGCCCACAAGACGGGAAGGTGGCACGTAGGGACCTGAGCTCTCCCCACCCGGTCGGGGTAGACACGCCCCACCTGCTGCACCCCCTGCCCTGTGCATGGCCCCTACCTGGTGTGACTTGTAGAAGAACAGGCAGAAGTTGGTGAACACCACCCATAGCTTCTGCCACCCGTTGCTGTTTTTGAATTTCCTCAGCAGGTTCCCAGACAACTGGTTCTGAAAGACAAGTGGTCTGTGAGGAGCATGGGCAGGAGGCTGCACTCCAAGCACGGGTCTCCATGGTGCCCTGGTGTGTGCAGAAACCTTGGTGGGGCGTCTGAGCCTAATTTAATTCATTCTGGTCATTCGTCACGAGACGAACTGTCTCAACCACCCACACTTGAGAGTACGGCCTTATTGGGACACAGGGCCATTGCAGGCGTGGTTAGTGATGACGAGGTCACACAGGGGCAGGCGGTCCCTAAATCCTGAGTGGTGTCCTTGTAAGAAGAGGATGAAAAAGTAAACCCAGAGGACAGCACGTGACCAGTAAGGATTCTGCAGACCCCAAGGAGGGCCAGGGCAAATCCTCCCGACAGGTTTGTGAGGGAACAAGGAGTGTGGCCCTGCCAGCATCCCGACTTGGTGCTTCTGGCCTCCAGACCCTGCTGCAGTCAGCCAGCCAGCCTGCACTGCTTCCCCAGCCGGTCCCTGGGCTCCCAACAGTCATTCCCTGGGCTGGCGCAGCAGCTCCCTCTCGCCACCTGGTGGCTTATGCCCAGAAGCGCTCTTCCCACTGGCCTTGCAGAATTTCTGTCTGTCCTGCCTTGCCCTGCCAGGCCAGGTCCCCCCAGCTCTGTAGCCCCTGAGGCTGCCTGAGGCCTGTAAGTGCGTGTCTGGGGGAGATACCAGAGCAGCTGCCTGTGAAGAGCACCATCAGAATGAGAGGTGACCTAGATGGGAGGACGGCACAGGCGACGCATGTCCTTGCTGTCCCCAGAGAGGACACCAAGAAGGCCTGTCCACCTACCAGACAAGCTGGGGGCTCATCTAGTCCCCCCCCAATCCAAGGTGACGTTACCAGGGGAGACTCAGAGCTGGGCAATGGGGACGTGACGGTTGCTCAGTCTCGTGAAGTAGTGAATTGTCCACTCAGAAACAGTTAATTGGCAAACGGTGTGTTCTATAGCATTTACTATAAGATGGACCCTTGAGTCTGTCTTATTCTAACCCTTTAAGCACCTGCCTGAGTCAGGGCCCCAGGGGGGAGCTGAGATGAAAAGGTTGCCTGTCTCTGCCCTCCCGCTGCTCCCCTGGGAGACAGAACCACGACAAGCAGAACAAGTTATGCAGAGAGGGTGCAGGAAGTCAGCCGGTCTTCTCCGAGGACTGGGGACTGGAGGAACTGAGGGACCCCGCTCCCCACCAGCCAGAGCAGAGAGGGCAGTTGGGCAGTTCCATCCATCCAGCCCATCTGGTCACCACCCACCCCTGGCAGAAGGGAAGCCTGGTGCCCCTGCCTTGCTCACAACCCTCCTGTTAAGGCCAGCTCGTCTCCACGCTGTCCCTAACATCCCCCCATACTCATTTCTACTAGTAAGGGACATCCAGGAGCACAGAACGAGAAAGACGGCCATCAGGGCGGGACGGTGCTGCCGGCTCTTGTGTCATGTCAGGGGCCCAGGCCTGAGGGTGGGTCACGTCTAAATCAAGGAGCATCTTGGCATGTGGTACGTGAAGGCACTCTGCCCCGGATGCCGGACTGAAGCCACATGCCTTAGGAAGGAAGGAACCTTTGCCGGGTGACAGGCCAGCCCGTCCCACGAGCATCAGCCCTGCATCACCATCCTGTGAAGCCACCCCCGCCTATGGGCTGGCTTAAGTCTGCCCTCTGTCAGACTGGCAAACGCCCTCAGAGGACCAGGGAGCAAATATTATAGGCTCCGCAGTCCAGGAGGCAAAACTGAAGACACTGTGTCATAGTGTTTACGTTGGAAGCGTGGTTCCCAGCTCGTGGGCCTGCAACGGCAGGCTAGCGCCTAGGGCCACGGTTTGCTGAGTCCACACTACGCTCACTTGTCCATGCCGACCCAGAAGAGCCAGTTTGAGGAGGTGTCTCTGGGCTGTCTGACTCTCACTTAGGTATTTGGTATATTCTTGAATGGCCTGGGTGCCTCTGGGGATTTTAAAAAGAGCTTTGAGGCCTACAACAATCCCCCTGCCTTGGAAGTGAAAATCTACATGTTGCGAAGGTCGGTAGGAAGAGAGGAGAGATGGTTTCTCGCAAACAGCGCAGGACTTCCACTGGTGTCAGTAGGACAGACCAGATCTGACGACGTGGTTTTGTTTTGTTTTGTGTTTAGATATTTGCCATGAGGCAAAATCACCCCCACCCCCACCCCAGGGAGTGGCCATGCTGCAGTCCCTTCTCCATTCTCTTCTTGGGATTTTGGGCACGCATGCGTATGTGCCCAGTGTGATTTCCAGGCCACTGGACCCGCGGACTTGGCTGTGTGGGAGCTAGCCGCCTCAACCTCCACGCCACCTGCCGGCCCTGATTGTTTTCCATGAGCTCATCTCCCATACGGGGATTCCCTTTTCCGCTGTGATCAGTCCCACGCCTGAAGACACCCCAGACTGGCAGGCTCGCCCACAGGCCCAGGGAAGTGTGAATGGAGATAGGGCTGAGCACTTTGAGCCTCAGGGACATTGACTGGGGCAGGGCCGAACCTTCGCTGTGCCCCGAGGATGTCTGCCGGAGCCGGCGGGGTTTGGAAGCCCACCTCTAGTGGACCCCTCAGTAAGGCAGGCCGGTGGAACTGTGGAGGCCACTTCCTGAGACTGCTTTTCGGACTCCCCAGAGACCACCCCTTAGGAAACGTCGGTGCCTTCCCCATGCTGTGAGTTCAAGGACCCCTCGAAGTCCTGTCCTCGGCTCACGGTCTCGTGACACTGAGCCAGGCATGACTGGGGATGAGAACTAAGAGGTCATTGGGAAAGCCACGACATGTTCCTTTTCTATGCAGACATGTGTCCTGACTTTCCCGAAAACCCAGTATGTTTTGGAAGGTGAGTCCAGTCAGTCTCTGCTACAGGCCCCCAGGAGCCCGAGCGCTGATTCTGGGGGAAAGGTGAGCACCCGCACGGCACGGGAAGGGCTAGCACAGGCCTCACGCCTGCACAGGGCCGGCAATGCTGGCAATCGGCGATGAAGAAAAGAGCTTCCTGGGCTTGGAATGTTCTGGAAAGCAACCACTGACAGGATTGAGAATGTGCCTAGGGAGGAGGGGCTTGGAAAGGTTTAGAGACCTTCACGGTCACCATCCAGGGCGAGACCTGTCATCCCTGCCAACTCTTAGGGACAACTCCCAGAGCCCACCTGTACAGGTCTGTCCTGCACCCTCTTCTCGGGGTCCTCAAAGAACTGGGAGCCCCCAGCTGGCACTAGCTTGCCATCCTCAGACTCTGCGGCCTCCCCGAGCATGGTTCTCATGGGGCCGCTCCAGGACATGGCGGTCACAGAGTCTGGAGCTGTGCTCAGTGTAGACACCGCCCCACACCTAACCCCGCAAGAGGAAAGGAATGGAGGACAGTGAACGGAAGCAGTAGATCTCATGGGGTAGCGGGGATTAGTGAAAACCAAGAGGCACGTTTGCATTTCTGGGAGGAGAACCCGTGCCCAGCTCCACCTGCAGGGAAGGCCAGGTGAACTTGGAGGGCGCCCTGGGCTCGGATCCCCCTGCTCAGGCGTCTCGGGCAGTGCACTGTCAGCGGCAGGGGCAGGTGCTAGCCTCGCTCGGGCCTGAGATTGGCATGGGCGCTGCCCGGGACAGAGCTGCCCTGCCCCTTCCCCCGGCTGCTCCCCCGGGTACCTCCACGGCGATGCTGAAGTCCACCATGGAGACGCTGGTGTTGCGGTGCCAGCACACGTGCACCATGGTGTTGCCGCGGTGCGGGGCCTGGCGCTCCAGCGAGGTCCGCGAGGCACTCAGGTCGTCCTCCGACTCCTGGTCAGCCGCTGTGGCTTCATCCGGGGACTCTGAGATGCAGGCAAAAGGCAATGCTCTGATCCTTCCTCACCAGGAAGGGAAGCCATTGCCTGACACCCTCCAAGGTGTGGAGGAAGGCCCAGGAAAGCTGAAGGGACTTGACCACGCCTCGTGGCAATCACTCACATGGAACCTCACGAGGCCTGCACTCAGGGGAGTGTCAACCAGCCCTGCCAGCCCTGCCAGGAGTCTGTTCAGCTCCTGGTGCTTGCCCCACAGCCCTCACTCCAGGCATGACGGCCTCCCCTCTGTCCTTACACACCGACATCCCATGTGACAAACGGCAATGCCTTTCCTGCTCCCTCACAGTTTTCAGGGTCATATTTTTAGAAAAAGGAAATTCCGCAATTTTCAGCTTTAAACACCAGTGCAGACAGTGAACACGAAGCCTGCTGGACGGGAGGCCTCGGTGCAACCCTGATGCTCTCCCTCTACGCCCAGAACCACCTGCCGCTCCTGGCAGCACCGGGCCAGGGCGCTGCCCCGCAGAACCTCCCCAGCCACGTACTGTTGTCAGGGGGACTGCTGGCCAGGAACTCGGGGCTGGGGCCGCTGCTCTTCTCGGCCAGGTCGATGGCCATCTGGATGTCCTCGACCCACTTTTCCATCTCAGACCGGGAACTGGGAACAAGGTGGGAGAAGGGTTTTAGGCCATGGAGGTCGAAGGGTCAACTGGTGGGGGTCAGGCGCCCGCATTACCTGGCGGCCACGATGATGGACTGCCGCTGGCCCCGGAGGGTAAGGCAGTGGGGCACACCCCACTCATCTTCACTCTCCTCCACCTGCGGGGCAGGAGTTCACGGCATTACTGCTAGTTGGCGAGGGAGGTGCAGACAGCCCCTGACTGGGCAGCTGAGCTGACCCCAGGCTGAGTGGGGCTTGGAGGGGCCCGGAGCCCCTGCAGGGTAGGAAGGGCTCTAAGTCAGAAAGCCAAAACTGTGAGCGAGTCAATGGCGTGGTCATTCAGGTGGCTCGAATCCTGAACCCGGCAAACTTGGAAAGCACACTGAATGCACGTGCGAGTGTGCCCCCAATCCCAAAAGGATGGCGAGATGGAGAAGGGATTGTGGCTTGACCATGCCCCATGGGGGTGCTTTCTTACTTTCCTTCTCTTTCTGGTGCATGTATATGCCCTCTGGCAAATTAAAAAACAAAAACAAATGAAAAAACCCAAATGAGAAAGTCAAAAGGGAGATAAAAATGCATCAAATTTTTTTTTTTTTTTTTTTTTTTTTTTTTTTAGCGGAGCCACAAACTTTCTTCAAGTCCCAAAGAGAGTGCTGACGTGGACTGGGGTAATGACAGCTACCCACCTGCGCCCATCTGCACGGGGCGGACAGGGCGGCTGGCTGGTCTGGCTCCGGGGGGTGGCCCCTCTACTCCCCGTGTGTGACGAGCACTGTCTTCAGAGCCCTGCTGCCAGGCACAGGGCAGTGAGGGGCCAAGCCTCACCACATGGCGCCAGGCGGTCCGGACCCAGGAGGACACACCCGGCCTCACTAGTTCAGGAAAAGGGGCGGTGGCCCAGAGCCTCCCTAGGGAACGCCTTGCAAGGCTGTTCTTTTAGGTGACAGGTGGGAGGGTTGGAGGGTGGCTGGTCTTTGAAGCCAAGATGGCCCTGCTGCGCTCTCACCTCCTTGCCGTCTCATGCTCTCCAGCCTCACTGTCACAGCAGGGCTCAGCTCCCCTAGGCCTGGCTGCCCCTGCCCTGCCCACGCGGTGGGGCACACTCACCGTCATGCCGTAGAGCGGCAGCTGCCCGTGGACCTTGAACTGATTGGAGGCCGTCAGCCCGCGGCTGGTGTAGAGCAGGACGTCGTTGAACTGCGGGAGGGAGAGGCGCGGTTGAACGGACCCCTGATGCTGACAGCGCCCTCTACGCGCTTGCCTGTCACTCACTGATCTTCCCGCACCAGGAAGGGAAGCCACTCCTGAGATCCTCCAAGGTGTGGACTTGGCGGCCATGCCTCGTGGCACTCACTCACATGGGAACCGAACGAGGCCGGCACTCGGGTGAGTGTCCACCAGCCCCGCCAGCCCCGCCAGCCCTGCCAGGGGTCTTCCAGCCCCTGGTGCTTGCCCCGCAGCCCTCACTCAGCTGATCTCGCCAACTCCAGGCCAAGCAATAGACCTGCTCCCCTCGCCTTCCAGGGCCCACTCGTGGCGGCCTCACAACGCTTGCTTGTCCCCCGGCACTGTGGGTCACCGTATCATCATAGGACAAACAGATCTCGCCACCTACCAGGAAGAACATGCGCTGCTGCAGCCCCTTCCCCGAGAGCTTGCTCAGGCTGCCCAGGCGAATGAACTCCTGCGGAGAGAACAGGCCTGTCAGTGTGGGGTGAGCGGTCGGTGTGGGGCGCGCACTCGCCCAGGTGGCCGGAGGCTGGCTTCCTCACCGGGTCCCCCTAGGGCAGGCTGCCATGATCGGTCACTGTTTACTGCTGAGCCTTCTGCAAGCATCATTTCTCCCTCCCGGGGGGCACTGTATAGCCCCCGGGACTGAGCAGCCCCTGAACCCCACTGTGAGCTCCCCACCCAGAGCTCCCTGCTAGTACCTCACTGCAACTGAGTTGAGGTTGACCGTGGGGACGCTGGTGTCGCCATGGTCGGCCCCACCTGACAGGAAGCTGACACATGCGTTAACTAGCTGGGTTAACTCACCAGTGGGCTTGGGTGCTGGTGGTGGGTTTATACTGGGGCCTGTTAGGACAGTGACTGCTCCTAACCCCCACTGTGAGGAGATACACGGACCCCAACCAGTTTTCAGAGAAGAAAGAGGCTATGAAAGGCAGAGATGGCCAGCAGGTGGTTAAGGTGCTGGGCTCCCACATGGCTGACCGCGGTTCGAGCCCCAGACCTGGCAGCTTGCTTTCTCTTTTTGCCTTCTCTCTCTCTCTCTCTCTGGTGCTCACATGTGCCCTATAGCGAATTTTAAAATAACAATAATAATAAATAAAATAAAATAAATAGATAATTAAAAATAAAAGGCAGAGAAGCCATCTAGGAGTCCTGGGGCAAGAATGTTCTCCCTGGTTTGAAATGCTGGTTTTCAGAAGCCCCTAACTGTGTTCTGGGATTAAGAAGCCCATGTGTCTGAGAACCTGCACGTCCCCAGTGACATTTTCCCACAGACAGAGACTTGAGTGCATAGGTCACACGGGGACAGGCATTTTTAAAAAAATAAACAAATGAAAACCCTCATCCTTATTTGTGGTAAAATACACATAAAGCTGACCCCCCATGACCTTTGGTGCAGTGACAATGGTGACAACCCTTGGTCTGGAATTGCTCTCCCTGAGGGCCCCGATCCCTGCCCCTCCTCCTTGAAACAATAAGTGGATGTAAGGGAATAAGGCGACTCTGACGTTAGAAGCCAGCGCCCCAATTCCAACCTGGCCTTCGTAAACAGTAATGACCTCTCATTGCCGAGCACACGATCTGTGCCTGACCTATCCCGGGGCTCAGGTTTTTTAATTTTTAAAATTTTTAGCTTTTTCCTATAGGGTGCATGTGCTCGCCAGAAAGATGCAAAGAGAGGAGAGAGAGAGAAAGTGAGAAATCACTCCTCCAGAGCTGACGGCTACACTGCAATCCCTTCTCCTCTCAGGATTTTGGGCACGCACACATACATGCCCAGATTATTTTCCAAGCCACCAGGTCGAGGACTCGAACTGCACTCACAGCCATGTGGGATCCAGCTACCTTAACCATCATTCCTCCTGGCCGGCTATTAGTCCCAATTTTTTAAAATAAGGAAACTAAGGAGCAAAATAGTTTAGAGACTAGCCCAAGTGTACCTGGCCAGTTAGCAGGGTGACAGAGCTAGTATTGGGTGACAAGCTTCGGATCCCTCTGCAATGCCAGCATGTATAATAAATGCACACTTAGACTCTTCAAGTCAATGGAGGCGAGGGAAAAGGGAGGTAACTAATTTGTATTGTGTTTTTACATATTAAATCCCATCGGCTGTTTTAAAAAAACAATCAATCAATTAATTAATTTTTAATTTGACCAGAGAGAAAGAGAAAGCAAGTTGCCAGGTCTGGGACTTGAACTACAGTCAACCACGTAGGAGTCCAGCACCATAACCACCACACCACCTGCTGGCCCCCACATTGGATCTTAATGGCCTATGAGGGAGCATGTATTATTGCCATATTACAGAAGGAAAGGAAAGTTCTAGTAGGTAAAACATCCCAGTCTGGTACAGTTAGAATTTTTTTTTTTTTTGAGAGGTTTTTGCTATAGGGTGCGTGAGCTCACCAGACAGACAGAGACAGAAAGCAGGAAATCACCCCCCAGGGGGGGATGGCCACACCACAATCCCTTCTCCTCCATTCTCCTCTTGGGCATGCACGCACACACACCCAGCGTGAGTTTAAGCCACCAGGTCCGGGACTCGAACTGCGGTTGACTACGTGGGAGTCCAGCGACATAGCCATTATGCTAACTGCTGGTCCCTGGTACAGTTAGAATTTGAACCCAGGATCACTCATTCCCATCTGACAGTCTTTGCTGCAATGGAAACTGTTTCCCCAAAGTAAGAATTTCTTTACAAATGACCTGTTCACCACAGCAAACTATGCTAACTATCTGATAACGTTCAAAGTTAAGAGAAGATTCCAAGGGTTCCGTGTGGATGGGTGAACGAGATGGTTGTGTGCTGAGTAAGGCCAGGCACAATTTTCTCACCAGCACAGCCGAAGCAAACCCCATCTTTGATTTCCACCCAGCGCTTACCACTTAGCTCTGACAGTCTCTCACCAACTGCTTCCTGGTCAGTTCGGTTACTAGACTTCCTGACAGAAAGGGCCAAACACACAGGGACCTTCCCTCCCCTGCCCGGAGTCACCCAAGGGTCAAGTTTCCAGGGCAGCTGGCTGTCAGATGAAACTGAGTGCCTAGGGCCAGTAGGTGGCATATGGCAAGCACCTTTAAAAAATAAACAAAAACCAAAACCCTGAAAGCCCTTGGTGTGGCAGTTAAGGTGCTGGACTCCCATGTGGATGACCACCATCTGAATCCTGGACCTGGTGGCTTAAAACTCACTCCGGGTACATGTGTGTGCATGCCCAAAATCCCGAGAGAAGGAACTGTGGTGTGGCCATTCACCCAGGGGGAGATCTCTCACTTCTCACTTCCCCACTTCCCTTCTCTCTCTCTCTCTCTGCCTCTGTCTCTTTCTCTCTCTCTCTAGCAAGTGCATGTTCCCTATGGCAAAAACAAACAAACAAACAAAAACAAAAAAGCCCGACACACATTAAAATAAGCTCTCTTGAATCCTCTCTGGAATATGGTAGGGAAAAGTAAACCAACCAGTGAGGAGGAGAAGCAGAGCATGAGGTGGGAAGGTTGCTTTATCTCTTCCTCACACAAGGGTTCTGAACGACGCTCACCGTTCAAGGCCTTTCCCCAGGTGCCCCCGGGGTGGAAGGAGGTCACTGCAGAGGGGGATGCTTTATATTCAAAAGGTTCAAATGGAAGTCCTTTACGTGTCTCCCACCCCGGCTTCACATCACGTGCGTTCTGCTTACCCTTCCGGGAATCACAAGATTGTCGATGCCAATCAAATCCTTCTTGAGTTCGTGCAGCTTCTGGAAGTTCTCCATCTTGATCATTGTACCGTGAAGCTGGGCCACCATCTCCGTAACCTCTGCCAAAGCAGCTGATGGAGGAAACACACACACAGCACACACACACTGCAGGGCTGTGGCAGACCTGGGGCCTTGGTCCTTCAGGGAACACACAGCTCTCTCGCCTGAAAGTGAGTGGTTTATCTCATGCATGTTTTTGCACTCCATTCCCTTCCCCAAAGCATCTCTAAAATGTCAATGGCCTCTTCTCGGCTGCGGTGGCATACAGCTGTCTTTCCATGAAGACAATGTAGCCTAGAGGGGAAGGACTGTCCCCAGCTCTTGGGGACAGAGGGAATAAGAGTCCTTGGATGTTGTCCCAGGATAGAAATTTCTCTTCCCGTTCTTGTTATCTGGAGAGAACAGGGAACACAGAGGCCCCAGAAAAATCTGGAACAAAGTTGGCCTCTTTCTGGGAGAGGGTCTGATTGTGGCAGTTTTGAGTAATTAACATTCCAGCACACCCGGTTCTTTCTCCTGCGGAAATTAGACTATTTAGCAAGATGGTTGAGAAGAGTAGCTGTGGATTTCAACTCTCCTTTCCAACCTAGGCACATGCCCCCTCTACTGGTAGAGACCAAATATGCAAGAGAGCTGCGGCTCCAGAGCTGCCTAGCTTCCGGGGTAATTGTGCCAAAATTTTCATAGGAACGTGGACTTAAAGCACACATTTATTTTGGAGCAAGAAAAACTTGGAATCCACGCATAGTTTCTTCATAATAGCACATTTTCTATGAACTTTTGAAGACCACTTGGACTTGCCTATCCTTTGCCTGTCTTCAGAACACTTGGGAGCCTCCTTTCCAGCAGTTCAGCTTTGGAAGGGAAGGGGCCCGTTTTCAAGCTTTCTCCCTGAGGGTACACATGAAATGCTTCCTGGCATGTCACGAAATGCTGTCTCCGGCATGCTGACAACCCCAGGGCTTGCTCGGTCTTCAGATAATGCCACCCCGTTTGGTCCAGCAAACACTTACTGGGCACCCAGTGCTCAATGGGGTGGGAGTGAGGATATTTTGAATGGAAAAAGATGATGCCCTGGCTCCTAGGCGCTCCTGGGCAAGGCATGCTGGGAACAGCTGTTGGTACGCCACGTGCCCGACTCAGGAAGTCTATGCTCTGATGGTAGGACTTCTCCAGGGCTGTCTTGCCAAAAACTAATTTGTAGGAGTCTTCCATTTGTTCTAGACGCTAATGGTGATTTTCTGAGAAGCACGATGTCCTCGTCCCCCTTAAAACCTTTCTTGTCTTTCCTTTGCTCTTAGGTTAAGGTCTTGCAGGGATTCTAAGATCCTGTGAAATCTGGTTTCTGCTTACCCTTGTATCCTCATTTTTGTCTCGGTTGCTCTGAGTTCCACACTGTAGCTGACTTCTACTTTCTAGAATGTTCCAAAGTCTCTGTCTTCTTTGGCCTGATGTGGGTGCTGTTTCCAACTCTACTCTCCACACCCTCTCTCCTCCAGGAAGACTCCTATCTGAACTTTAGTCTCAACTTTGACTTCCTTTTCCTTAGAGACTTCCTCAAAGCCCCAAGGCTGAGCCGGAACCCCGGCACCAACCATCCTCTACGGTTCCCTCTCACGGCCCTGCTGCGGTGTTGGTCCCTGCCCAGGTGCCCGCTGGTGGCTGCGGGGCCACCTCTGCTTCAACCCCCCTCACAGGCAGCACAGGAGCTCAACGCCCAGGTGCGTAGGAGACTGGGTGTGGAAGGTCGCGGAGAGTCAGACGGTAGTGGAGGAAGTCAGGTGTCACCCAGGTCTTAAGCAAAGGTGCAAGAGACTGCATTTAGAAGTCAGTAACACAGGTGGCCCGAGATCGGAGTGTTCCCACTACTTTCGCGAGACAGATGCTAGTGGGCAGGCCTTGGACCCTGACATGCTAGTGGGTGTGGAGGTTCAAGCAGCCTGGTCAAGGGCCACCTAGGAAAGGCCTCCTCTGTGGAAGCCTGGCTGGACAGCACAGGGCACTCAGCAATTAAGCCCGTCCAGGCAGGAGCGCACACACCAACCAACCACACGTAACACAAGGCAGAACGACCGTGGTTCAAAAGGAGGGTGCTTGGTGCCATGGGAAAGCATGGTCTGGAATACCAGCCCTGACCTTTCACCTTGTGAGTGACACTTGCAAGTCCCTTGTTGGGGAGGGACTTGCAAGTTCTTGTCTGTAAAATGCAACAACGCAGCTGATCCCACGGGGCTGTTAAAGGGGTAAAGGTGCAGACGGCGGTGTGATGCCCAGCATGGAACCTGACCTGGAGCTCAGCAAGTGTGGAGAAATGCCATCACGGGACAGTAGGGTAGGAAGGTCATCACCTGGGCTCTGGGCTCATTTACTTCCCAGCTGTGTGACTCTGGGCAGGGTCCTTAACCTCTCGGTGTCTGTGGTCCCTGTGTAAACCGCGCACGCCGTGCCTCAGGCTTGTGAACGTTAGGACGAAGTGCTTGTCATGGGGACTGGCACGTCACAGATGCCCAGCAGTGATGAGCACGAATCTGTGACAAGCCGTCTTCTGTGACTGGTCCAGGGAAGGAGTACAGCGTTCTGACCCGTTCCTGGCGGCCTGACTGTGCGTGCAGCTTCTCCAGGGCCTTGCGCAAAATCACCCAGCATCAGGGGTGCATTGTGAGAAGGAAAAGGGCCTAATGACCACCAGTACCTTCTTCAGGGAAAGATCAAGGTGCGACAGAACCATTAGCTCAGGTGGTGCAGGGCGGCCCCTGCCCCGTGGGTTCTGAAACCCAGGTGCAGTAGCAGGAGACCTGTCTCCCCAAGGAGCCCCCCGCCCTGGCTGGGCCTAGCCTGCAGCACCCCGCCTGACTTGGGTGCAGGCACCCCATGGTGTGGGCTCCCGGGGCTCACCTCGGCAGTCCCTGAAGTCGGCGTGGTTCGGTGGGTGGTGCTTGCATAGCCGCTCCAGGACCTGTTTGTAGTGCATGAGGCGGTGCAGCGGCCGCAGGAGGAAGGTGTTGAGCGGCAGGTAACACACCTTCTGCAGCTCGAAGTCTCGGCAGAAGTTCTCCAGCCTCCGGGAACTCTTGATCCCGTTCTCCAGCGCCTCCAAGGCCTCGCTGTGCTTCCACAGGTGAGCTGCCAGGTGCTGTGGCGGAAGAGAGGTCCTGCTCAGCTGCCCTGAGTGTGCGCCGTTCCGCCCAGCTCGACTTGGGCATGGAAAGGGCACCGTCACTCATTATTTCATCGCGTGGATTCAATTTCCTTACATTTATCTTTCGTATTTCACAAATAACTTTGTTACTTCAATTCTCAGGATGAAATGAAAAGCTCTTTGAGGTACTGAGAAGTTTAAAATACATATAGATTTTGTGGGCCAGCAGGTGGCATGGTGGTTAAGGCACTGGACTCCCACATGGCTGACCATAGTTTGAGTCCCAGACCCAGCGTGTGCCTGTGTGTGCCCAAAATCCCAAGAGGATTTTGGAGGGGAGATTAGAGTGTGGCCATCCCCCCAAGAGGTGATTTCTCACTTTCCCTCTCTGTCTCTCTCTGACAAACTTACGTACCTTATGGCAAAAACCTAAAAAACAAACAAAAATATATAAATATAAAAATAAACATAAGCTGAATATATATTACTAGCAGTATAAATGCATTCTTTTTTGGGGGGGTGGAGAGTTTTTTTTGTTTGTTTGTTTGTTTTTTTTTTTTTT